TATCCACGTGGGTCAAAATCGCGCGACTACATTTTGTGTAAACGTATTTGGGCGCTATCGCAATATACGGGGCACTGCAGTGGCAATGCATTCAAAACCACGTAATACATGTCTTTTTAGTTTAGACACTGCTAAGCCTTAGGCGAAGGAGGAAAGACCATAAAATTAGTGAGCTTTTCCCGTTTTCCCCGGAGCTACTGCTTATCCTGATCCTTTCCTTGTTTATTACCTGTTGTGCACATCATGCATATTGTCGTTCATATTTGGGTTTTGTTGTGTTCCTTCATTGACTGTTTGTGTATTTTTATGTATTGTACTGTTTATTATAGTTTTATTTATAGGTATGTCATATGGCTGCTGATGTTTGAAATTCTTTGTTGTTGACTAAAGTTGTTGTTATTTATATTTTTTTCTTGTTGTTGTTTATTCCCATATTTTGCAATATAAGTTCTATTAATTGGAATAGGGTTTTGATACCAATGAATTGAATGGTCAGATTTCTATATTGTTTCATTTAGTGTCCAGGTGACCTCGACCTTCCAACCTCTGATGCAATCGGATACACCTTGTTTTACCTGGCGATTAGCAGCACTGCACATTCTACTGTGTACACACTTGTCTGTACAGCTGGCTTCTGACCTTACCGGGTTACTGTAGATTTCTATCAATCAACTCCTTATAACATCAACTTAATGAAACTCCTCCGGGACGAGAAATTCGCTGGAGTCATCACCGATTTCGATAGCTTTCTTGGGCGTGGATGAATCCCAGTTGCCATGAAAACTTTGTCCCGTTGGGAGAGGATCGACCGAATTGACCATCACAAATGTTCTAAAGAATCGTAATGACCCACTTCGCGCTATATGGAAGCCCAATGATTGTTAAAAGGCTTAAAATAAGAGCTCTCGCGAATTTACTACCTTTCTAGCCACTACCAAATACCATCAAAATGGCTGAAGCTAGAAACGACCGCTAGCCAATGCGCTGGCTCTGCGCTTGACGCCTTGGGACGAAATTCAACAAATTACTCATAAAAACCTTTTTAAAGTGAGCCAGGGAGTGTTATTCTGAATCTTCTATTCTAATCCTAACACGTTGTTACCACTATCCGCAAAACTGCGAGTGGTTTTTAATGCATGGCGCATTACAAAAGAAGGCAAGGTCTTACATCGGCTCTCTCCTGTTGGACCTTCTTGCGGCGCTCAATTACAGGGCATGAATGAGCTTGGCCCTATCTTTAAGTTCGGACATGCCATGATTCAGGACCCTGCACGATGGGGGAGCTGATAAGCTTTTCCACAGCTGTCCGTATTAGCAACGAAAACGAAGGTGTTTGGCCTAAAAACAATCAATACGTTCCACGGAAGGGGTGCAGGCTTTTATATGAAATAATCAGTAGTATAATTTATTGTCAGATGGCGACGAGGAGTTCAGCCACGCCTTTTCGTGGTGACGAATGACGAAAGTTGTCAATTGTCGACTGCCGGCCGCGTTTAATATTTCAGCATGTAATCAAGCGCATGGCCAGCATACCCGAGCGCGAGCAATATGGGTAAGAGAGACGAGCAGCTGGAAAATTCACCATTCTTATTGTTTTTCATTCATAAATAAGTCAACGGCAGTCATTAACTACCCTGTAAGTGTCACCTTATAGCACCTGTGCAGTACTTGCACTTTCAGCATGCCACTTCTCGCAAGGCACAATCGATATATTGGTTATCTGATTCTCCAGGAAGGATACTGAAGATTCCAGTAGCCTCCACGGAGCTATCTACAGTGTTACATCGGACGCATCCGTCAGTCGTGGGTACCTTGTAGTGGTTTAGCGGTCGACGGGTGATTGGGTCGATTGGTGGTCGAGGGGGCGGGCATGCGCACCGCCTGCTAACGAGCCGCACTTGCGATGCAGGAACCCCAACGGCTCTACCCGTCCCTGAATAGTCTTCAGGGACAACTTGGTGGATCTATTGGCCAAAGCTCTGGTGGTCGTTATTCACCATCAACCGCCTACAGAAACCGAATGCAGCCGGTCAGTACCGTATTTGTTCAGCTTTTCGTTCACGTCATTTTTGGCCAGTTTTCTGCCAGTTTCATTATCTCCTCCATTCTGAAGGCTTTCAAAGCCATTCCTTTTTGTAGTTTCAAGCCCTTCTCGGTCGCAGGGACCAAGGGCTCAACTCTTGACCAGTTCAGACCTCTTGAATGTACTCCATAGTGTCTCTTCGCCTATGCATTATTCAAATTCATTGCGTATTTTACGGCGTCGTTGCATTAAAAATTGATTCCGCTCATAAATTTACAAGCGACGAAAAACAACACTTGATACTTAATTAATAACATTAGTCAATTATTCAGCAATACTGCATCAAAAATGTGAATTGCCAAGTCGAGGCAGCCATCCGACTAAGCCGTGGGCGACCACATAACCCCGAAGAGACTGCGGGTTCACTGGACATAACTTATTTGGGTGATGGCCTGTAGCCCCAGGATACCAACAGAATGCTTGAACATTCCCGGAAAGCTCAAGCTCGAAGCCATTCGCTGGTTCTCGTCCAGTTGCCATTCCAAGTATGCATATCTTTACCTCGATGACTCGCGAGTCCTTGTAGGATTTAATTAGCGAATGATGACGTCTTTCATATCACATGTCCCCCGTTCACACACAGACTACGGTAGCAGATGTTTTCCGAGGCATCGATTTCTGCCTGTGTAAGTGTCCGCCCACCGTCCTTCCCACCACACAGTCCTCCCAGCAGCACTATAAAGTCGTTCGACTCGGTGACTGATCGCCCCCCCCCCCCTTGAGCCCCATATTGCACCCGGCCATAATTACTCCAACAAATACATTTCAGTTCAACAACTCACTGTTCGGTTCATTTGATGATCCGCTTTTCCAAGCGCGAGCCGCTCAAGTCGCTTTGGCAGACATGGATGTCAAGGTGAACATTGCGAATCCACTGATGCGACCACACGATATGTTCAGGTGTGTCGAAAGGATCGCTTTGCCCGATCGTTCAGTTCAAAAATAAACCTTCTCTTCAGTAATTACCTAATGACTTCGACCAACGATCCGACGAACATCTATCACGGACTGCCGGCCGCCTCAGAAGGCTTCGACCCATCCGTGCTGGTATCCACCTCATCGGAACAGGAACAGATGACCCCGTTACAGCAGGTACGGCAATTCGGGTAACTTGCCTGGTCAGAATGAATATTTTAATGTTTCCAGGTGATGGCCATGCAAAATTACGGTGCCTCTTCCCACTTCCCTCAATATCCGATGGCGTCAACATTTCCATCCGCGATTCCACCGCAAGTTACCCGATATCCGCTGGCCGCACCGGCAGCAGGTAAGCCCTAAGGTTCTAGAACTTTGTGTAGGGTGTCATTTTAAACTGATCGCTTTTCCAGAAATCGACACCGATCCACGGGAACTGGAACGATTTGCTGAGCACTTCAAGCAACGGCGTATAAAGCTCGGCGTTACGCAGGTGTGTCGAGCTAGTGGTTTCAGAACTTGATGGTGACAGCGACTTTTCAGAAAATCCTAGTAGCCGACGCAAAAAGTACTGAGTTGACGGAGAGCTTGCCTTTCCAATCGAGTTCTATGACCTTTTGGCTACCTTTGCAAAAGCAGGAGGATTTGTTCAAGTTTACCAGGGTGGTAACCTCCAGAACTGCAGCTTTGGGTAGAAATGAACCATGCTGTTGCCTTTTTCGGAATCTCATACTATCTATTCTAAGAAAGTCTCGGCTTCGAGAATTATCGGGACGGGTTGGGTAGGAACCTGGTACTTAAAGATTTACAAAGCCAGTATTGGTCACAATCGAAGAACAGCCACCGAAAAGATACCTGCGCGATGCAATCAGCCCCTGTTGAAGGAAGGCAACCGGGGCCAGGTTAAAACTGCATGCTGGGCGACTAAGCAAGTCTCTCAGGCTTCAGACCAACAACCGGTCAAGGTGGTGGCTACTTATCCCCACGGGACCTCATATTGCTTGAGGAAAATTGAGAAGCTTAGTTGCATAGTTGGGGTTTCTTGACGCTTCAGGCCTTGATAAAGGAGACCTGGCCTGTTACAAGAACCAGTCACCTGGGTTGTCCCAAATACGAGACAATATTTCTTGAACGTAGGCAAAATTGCTGATACTATCAAAACCCCCAAAAGCCAGGTCATATTTTTCAGGCCGACGTTGGTAAAGCCCTGGCACATCTGAAGATGCCCGGAGTAGGATCGCTTTCACAATCGACGATATGCCGCTTCGAGTCCCTCACCCTCTCCCACAACAACATGGTCGCCTTGAAACCGATCCTCCATAGCTGGTTAGAGAAGGTCAGTGTTTTAGGCTGCTAAGATTTCCCTGGACTGACGAAATTCTTCGAATTCAGGCCGAAGAAGCTGTAAAGCAAAAAGACGGTTGCGGTGATATCTCAGGGATTTTGCCGAATACGGACAAGAAGCGAAAGCGAACCAGCATAGCAGCACCTGAGAAACGCCTTCTGGAAGACTATTTCAGGTGAGATTCGTGAACCGTCGTTGATGACGTCAATCTAACAATGTTATACGAAATTGCAGACAACAACCGCGACCATCCGGTGAACGAATTGCTGCCATTGCGGACAAGCTCGATTTGAAGAAAAACGTGGTCCGAGTGTGGTTCTGTAACCAACGACAAAAACAAAAAAGGTAATTTTTGCTCATTTCCGGTCCTGCCAACCCCATGCCAAAGTCTAGTTTGCTTCTATTAAGTCTTTTCCTATACGATGGG